GCGGGTGCGGTAAAACATCCCATTTGAGCGTTTCTAAATATTTTTGTACAACTTTTGCGACATGAGGCCGAGCATTGTCATGAAGAAAAATAACTTTATCATGTCTTTGCTCGTATTCTGGCCGTTTTTCTCGCAATGCACGGCTCAAACGAATCAATTGTAGCCAATACCGATCGCCTGTAATGGAATCGCCAGGTTTCAGCAGCTCACAGTAAACAACACCCTTTTGGTCCCACCAGATACAGAGCATGACCTTCTTCCCATGAATTTTGCGTTTTGGCGTCGATGGTTGGCCTGTATCGCAAATGGTTTTTTGGCGTTTGGGGTTATCGAAATAGATCCACTTTTCACCGCCAGTCACAATTCGATGCAAAAACTCCTTTCTTTGTTGCCTTTGAATCAGTTGCTCGCAAGTGAAAAATCGCCTTTCAACATTTCTCGGTTTCAGTTCATAAGGCACCCAATTTCCTTGTTTTTGAATCATTCCCATGGCTCTCAATCGTACAGAAACAGCTTGTTGAGTTACTCCCAATGATTCTGCAAGCTCCTCTTGCGTTTGACTCTGATCTTCTTCAAGTAATGCCTCTAATTCTTTGTCTTCGAATTTTTTTGGCTGTCCAGAGCGAGGTTTGTCTTGAATGCTGAAATCTCCATCCTTGAAACGTCGAAACCATTCCCTACATGATTTATCAGTTGGAGCAGTGTCACCATAAACTTCGACAAGCATTCGATGGGTTTCAGCTGCACTTTTTTTCCAATTAAAGCAGAAAATTAAAACCTCCCGCAAATGCTGCTTGGTTAACAGAAAATTCGACATTTCAAATACAGTAAAAATCAAGGTTTTTGTATGAAACTCAAAGCGATATAAACTGAATATTATTAGCAGATTTCTAACCTCTCTAAAACCGCCAAAATCAGCTGTCATTATTAACCATTCTCAACAGCCGGAGTCATCTTTTGAGAAACGGACCGAACTAATTTGTACTCCTAACACACACACACACACACACACACACACACACATATATATATAAAGTATATGTATTAAGAATATATTTTATCTTTAGACGGTTATTAACATAAATAGGTATTGTATCACACACACACACACACACACACACACACACACACACACACACACACACACATATATATATAAAGTATATGTATTAAGAATATATTTTATCTTTAGACGGTTATTAACATAAATAGGTATTGTACACGTCGCAAACTCATTTTTCTTTTCTCTTATTTTAAGTTCATGCGATCTTATTTTCATGAAAAGCATAAATCGAGATGAATCTCGTTCTCGAATTGTGCGATATAATACTCTTGAAATATTTGTGCGACGCGATTGGTCATAGTGGTAGTCATACAAGTGAATCGTGATATATGTATGTGTGTATACGTCAAAAACTAGCCATTACAATACAGTGATTGTTACATAAAATTGAAACAAATAATATTAATATTTCTAAACAAGACATATTCATAAAAGAAGAACATTTTGTAGAATTTTGTATTATTTTTCGCTTTTAAGAAATTTCTTATATATTTATATTTATTCCTTTCATTATGTTAATTCCTTCCTTTTCTCTTATAACATAAATTGTATCTCGAGTGTGTGTGATATACTTTAGTTTTATTATATTTTTTAATCATAATAATGGGAGCAAAATGCGAACGTGATTATAGTCTATTCTGAAAGCTAATGCAGATAATAAACAGACTACATTTATATTACTCATTTATATTACTTGTCAGTATTATAAAATAAAAATTATAGTTAGATATGTTACATTAAGCTCATAATAATTCTTTTTTATTATCACAACTATAAATTCAATTATTGATTTTATACATCAAGATATGATCATGAAATTATTCGGAATCAATTCTAACTAGAATTATTTCCTAGATTTTTATGGTATCAATTTAAAATGCTGTGAATATATGCTTTGCATTTTTTGATTGATCAATTTGTAAAATTCTTTCTTCTAATTTTGATCATTGAAATATTTACAATTTTGGTATATTTTAGAAAATAATGCAAATATTATGTAAAAAAAGTTAATCCACAATAGATAATGTAAGTAACGTAACACACAAAAAGTAATATTGACACAATTTATAAGCACACTGTGCTTATAAATGACATAAAGCACAAGTATATTTTTCAGTAATATTAACATTTATAACATTGCATTAACGTATATTTTATTTATGTTAGAATTTACGTTTTAGAATTATTTTTATGTTTGTTTTGTTATTCATATAAGTTGTATTATTTTCATACTAAAAAATGTTAAATATCAATTTAATTTAAAATATTTAAATTAAATTAAATTAATACTTGAATATATTAAAAATACAGCATAAGGTTTTTCTAACACAAATACAAAATATTGTTCTATTCTAACATAAATACGAAATTAAATTAATGATTTACATTCTTTATTTTTTAAATTGTTATAAGTACAAAATGTTTTCTGTGGAAAAATTTACGGTAACGATCTAATCTAATCTCAAAATACGATACGATACGAAACAGTACACAGAAATACATAGAATATTCGTTGACATTTAATACAACTGATAGGAATAAAAGACCAGATTGACGTCTGTTGCTTTATTATGTCTATTCTCTTCGGATCAGAATGATGCTATTTGTACACACAATTTTGTACGCTGTGTTAATTCTTTGCCTGTCAGCAAAGGCACATTATACCGTAATAGTGAGAACAAATGAAGAGGAAAATTTTGTGTCAACTTTAACAAAAGAGCCCAAATATGTTCCAACTTGGCCTAGTCTAGACAGTCGACCGTTACCAGCTTGGTATGATGTTGCAAAATTTGGAATCTTTATTCACTGGGGTGTATTCAGTGTGCCTAGCTTTGGCTCTGAATGGTTTTGGAACAATTGGAAAGGTTGAGTGTTGTATATACTTTTTATATTCCTAAATGTCACGTGTGTAGACATTACCCATTTATATAATGTTATATTTGTGTAATGCAGAAGAAACTAAAATTACGAAATATTCCGACTTTATGAAACAAAGATATCCTCCGACCTTTACCTATCAGGATTTTGCACGAGATTTTACTGCCGAGTTCTTTAATGCTTCTGAATGGGCCGAGTTATTCAAGGCATCAGGTGCAAAGTATGTTGTATTGACAAACAAGCATCATGAAGGGTATACATTATGGCCATCAAAGTATTCATTCAGCTGGAATTCTTTGGATGTGGGACCTCAGAAGGATCTTATTGGTAATAAAGATACATATCTAACAATAAGATTATACATTAAGTATGAAAAAAATTCTCATATGTATTAATTTTTCTGTGAAATAGGTGAACTAGCAGAAGCTATTCGTAACAAGACAGACATAAAATTTGGTTTATATCATTCTTTGTACGAATGGTATAATCCTCTTTATGTAACAGATAAACAAAACAATTTTACAACAGATAGATTTGTCACTCATAAAATAATACCAGAATTACATGAGTTGATAGAAACATATAAGCCAGAAGTAGTTTGGTCAGATGGAGATTGGGAAGCATCGGATTCTTATTGGAAATCAAAAGAATTTCTCGCATGGTTATATAATGAAAGTCCTGTAAAAGATACGGTTGTAGTAAATGATAGATGGGGTAGTAATATACCGTGCCATCATGGCGATTTCTTCACATGTACAGACCGTTTTAATCCTGGTAGATAACATTAAAAATTATAATATAATAATAATATAAATTATGTATAGAATAATATTATTAAATGAATGTATGTATTATACATAAGTGAATTTATGATTAATAAAATTTTGCTTGTTAGGCGTACTTCTCCCACATAAATGGGAAAATTGTATGACTATTGATAAAAAATCCTGGGGATATCGCAGAAACGCTGTTTTATCCGAATATTATACATTAACAGGATTAGTGAAGGAATTAATAATTACTGTAAGCTGCGGTGGAAATTTATTGATGAATGTTGGACCAACAAAAGATGGCATCATTACACCAATATTTGAAGAAAGACTACGAGGAATGGGTATGTATCTTTTATATCTTATCATATTTTTTTTATTAGTATATTGATTAATTTTGATATACATTTTGTATTAACTTCAATGATACGAATAAATTGATTGTTTTAGGTGCCTGGCTAGCAGTAAACGGCGAAGCTATTTATAATACTAAGCCTTGGACAGTACAAAATGATACCTTAACAGGAAGTGTCTGGTACACATTAAGTAAAAATGAAAAACAGTTGTATGCTTCAATTTTAGAATGGCCAGATGATAACATTTTATTACTAGGTTCACTCAAACTTTTGAAGAGTTCTCATTTACATCTACTTGGTTATTCATCAACAATTTCCGTAAGTGTGCTATCTTTATTTAGGTATACGAAAATGAAAGGAAACATTAAATGACAGTAATTTTGAATATTTATTCCAGTGGAAACAATCCGATAATAAGCTAGTAATAAATTTACCAACTAATGCACACAGAGGTGAACCAGCTTGGGTACTAAAAATTGAAGCTTTTTAAAATGTACATATTTATTAAGAGTATATTTTATATTGTACATTATTTTTAAAAATCTATATGAATCTTAAAAAACATTTTTATAATAATTTTTGTAAAGTTTTAAAAAAAGCATATGCAATATTGTAAATGCAAAATTTTATATACGAGTATACCTTAACTAAAGTTTTGTGACGCTTTAAAGTAAATTAGTAACAAGAAAGTTCCAAACACCTTGAGCTTAAGATAAGCAATTGCCAACAGCAAAATATTTACACGTGAGCTACTTCATACAGATAAGCTCCAAGGAGTTTCGTCTGGAATCAATGAAAAAATAAATTGTTTAATATTAATTGTTTATAATAAAAAGTCAGTAATTGTTTAAATAACTGCTTTCAGTAATTGTACTCACCCCTTGGATGTAGTTGTGTACATTTAATTTTTCATTTTGAGAATGAGCACCATCATCACCCTGACCGACTGGTAAGAGCAATACATTTTTACCAGTAACTTCTTGGAAGGTCAAAGTAACTGGTATCGACCCACCTTCGCGAGAAAGATCAGGTTCTATATTGTAAACATGTTTAGTAGCTTTTCGACCAGCTACGTAATTTGGATGATCAGGATTCTCGGACCATGGTTTACCACCATGGAACATGCTCACGTTCATAATATTTGGGCTACCTCTTTCCTGCCATTTCTTATTTACATACTTGATCACCTTGTCAGTTGTCTCATCCGGAGTCATATGAGGCACTATTCTAATTGAAAATTTGCCAGTAACTTTACTTGGAATCACTGTTTTCGCTCCTGATTCACTGAAAGCACCCTCTATACCATGAATAGATAAACTAGGTTGCCTCCAACGGTGCATTAAGAGTTTAATCTGCAAAAAATGGCATAAAGATGTATATTTAACATAGATATCCGAATTATTATAATAGAAAAGAAAAACTACATATGCACATACTTTATCTTCTTTATGCGCTAGTGTTGTAGATCCAATTGTTTTCTTAAATTCATCTACATCAAAATCTATGTCCTTGTAACTATCTAATTCGGCTTTTGTTAATTCTGCGACACTGTCATAAATGCCATTTATCAAGATGCGACCGTTAACATCGACCAGAGTATTCAATAAGTAAATTAAATCTGCCATAGCTTCGTATACACATCCACCAAAGGTACCGCTATGTAAGTCCTTAGTAGCGCAAGTGACTTCTAGTACATAATAGCAAATACCTCGTAGACCATAAGTAACACACGGTTTTTTGGTGCCCAGCCAATAATTGTCAGATATGCAGACATAATCTACATTCTTTAAAAAGCTATCTTTCCTTGCCCAAAGAAGTTCATCTAAACCTTCACTGCCACTTTCTTCCATTCCTTCGAAAACAAACTATGCAAAGATTCCAAAGATAAATTAATATGTATGTAATATTGTAAAATAAATATTAATTGACAATACCAAGTTTTAAGCATTCTTAATTTCATGAGAAAATACCTTCAGATTGACAGGAATTTCAATTCCAGTTGCTTTATAAGCTTGCAATGCATGTATCCAACAAAGGACTGGTCCTTTGTCGTCTGTACTGCCTCGACCATAAAGTTTTCCGTCTTTTTCCGTAAGAGTAAACGGCTCAGTATCCCAGCCATCCTTCATTAATGCAGGCTGTACATCTAAATGCCCATATAAAACTACGGTTTTTTTCTTCGAATCTGAGCCAAGGTTTCCAAGTAACACAGGGGGAAGTGGGATTTTAGTGCCATCAGGAAGAGTCTGTTTTCCTACATCAGCCAATTCTGTAGTTGCTCCTAGATCTTTCAATTTTGCTTCTGCCCATTTCATCATTTTAATTATTTCATCTCTGTGATCCGGCCATGCTGATACAGATTTAATAGCTACTGCCTCTTTCAAATTATTTATATATTCCTGTTTATGTTCATCTATGTATCTACAAGTGTGGAAAAATAACAGATAAATGGTAATTATGATTAAAATGTACGCACAAATATGTATATACATCGAATCTGAAAAATCTCTTCGGATACATTTACTTTTTTATAAAATTGAAAATATTTGAAAAAATAAAACGAAACGTACTTAAACAAAGTTTTCAACGCTGATGGTAATGCCATGGTAATAATTCCGTCCAAACGCAGACGATACACAATATCAACTGAATCTAACAATAAGAACTACCGTAACTGTCGACAATAGCCGTGACTAGCCAGTGGTAGCCACACAATTCAGTGATCAGGTGCTCTTATCGTGATCATTCCTTCCTCTCTCTCTTTCTCTCCCTCTCTCTCGCTCCTTCTCCGTCTTTCTCTCTTTTTCTCCCTTTCTCTCTTCTTTTCTCTGAAAGAACGTTCTGTAAAATCAACAATAACATGTACAATACTTCTCTGACAGAATGTATGTACAAATATCGGCATACAACAGCGATATCTAATCGTTCATGATTCGAATATGAAATCAATTAAAATATATTTTACATAGAAACTCGTAGAAACATAATATTGCAGCGTATCTTGTATTTTATGTTGTTATCTTTTATAAACGGTTAAAAATGATGGTTAACTTATTTTTCAGCATGTTATCTATTCAATATTTATGTCAAATAAATGTTCGTATTATCTCTACTTTCATGTGACTGCGGAATACAGAACATTGGCGTAGAACGTCCATAAATTTTCAATTTTACTTTTCTCACGTAACTCTTTTTGTTTGACGTATCATACATTTATCTTGTTCTATACGTAATATTTCATAGATAAAATGTTTCGTTTAATCGTATAAGAAGACTAAAATAAAAAGTAACATTAGAATGAAATAATTGTAACATTACTCTGTTTTGAAAATGAAAAATGCGACCATTGTAATATTGTAATTATATTGAAAAGTTGCTAGTGGTATATTTTAATTTTACATATGTACAGAACGTACGTTGCTTAAATATGTATCACTCTATTATATATTTAAATACAAGTAAGTATTTGAGTATATTTTCATATAATTATTGAAATAATGTATTTTTTAAATTTGTTTTTTGAAAGCGAATAGATAAAAGTGCATTTTAATTAAAATAAATTCTTATATCACATAATGATATAATCAGTTGACCATAAATATTAATCTTATTTTTAATTGTTTTAAATACGACCTTAAGACTAATCATTTCATTGAATGGATGAAACCTTAAGATTATAGCATATATATAGACGTAAGAATAGATTAAATCACAAATATCCTATGACCTCGGGAAATATACCGCACAGTATTATTTCATGAGTTGGATGTATTTTTGAGCTCACACTTGAAAAATCAGACTTTGATACGATCTTGAATGCAAAATCACGATATGAATACATTGTCCTTTATACAATTAATACAATTTTAGGGACTATATTCTTTTATTTTATCTTTGATTTTAATTAGAACGTTATTAGGCTTGTTGTATCTGCATTATAATGTATCGAGCATTTGTCTATTAATAGATCTATCTCTCACCGATTTTGATGGGCTTTGGAATATGTTATAAAATAAAAAATATTAGACACCCATAACTTTTTATCTTCTTATCTCAAAGTTAAGGGTTGAAACAATTACCCCTCAAAAATAACAATTTTCATTTTCAGTGAATATTTTTGAAAAAAAGTTATAAGTAATAATAAGTAAATATAAATTTTAAGTAGTAAGTATAAAAGAGTTTGGATATTCTATATAATTTTAATAAATTCGTTTTTCAAAAATGTAAATAAAAAAATCCGTTATCTTCGAGAGATTGTTTCGACTTTTGAACTTTTTTTGAGATCCAAAGCCTATCAACATCAACTTCCACCATAAGATGAGGTGCGCTTTCCAACAAAAGCGACACAGTGATCATTTCCAACAAATACAACACAGTGATTATTTCATCCTTGTTTAACATTGATGAACAACAAAGATATATTGATACATTATGTCACACCATGTCATCTGTATCGCTTGTTAGAAAGCACCTCAAAGACGCTTCCCTGATGAGTACGTAAGTACATTCACCCGAAACTATCCCTGCAGTCGCGCATCTGTCAAAAGGTGACTGTCCATCGATATATAGATTTTATTGTCGATGGTCTCCTGTCGACTTCAACCACGGTATACTCCAACTTGTCCTTTGCAGTCAAACTGTACTTTTCATCTTTTTTCTCTTTCTTCCGAATACCTAATCCTATATATCTGTTTCTTTTTAAGTGCAGCATAACGCAGTGCAGGGGATGCAAAGATGCATGTAACGCGCTGTCAAGCTCTTCGCGCGCAAGCGCAATTTGCCGAGAAATGTCAAACAGACCAACTCTTTTCTTTCTCTCTTTCTCTCTCATACTGTGTGTTAGATAATCATTTTCGTCGAATAAAACGCATTTCAAGCATGACGCCGGCCAAAAAGAACACGCCGCGTGATCGCGTTTGTTGATGCGATTTGCTACGCCTTTCTCTCGTGAAGCCTCCACTGTGTGTGTCGCATCACATCGTGATTTCCGTGAGATTGACGCACAAACGACAGAATGCCAGTAAATGTATTCACGGCTTCACCGGCCCGTTGCTCCATAACAAAATACCTGACGGCACGTCGCTCCTCCACGAATCGTACCTCCGTGCGTTGAGTCGTGTTCCATAGGTACCACTAAACAAACATCGACTTGAATGCTCACTCGTTACGACGCTCACACATCAATTGTCAACGAAGCGGAAACTCCAACGAAGACAAAAGTGTAATTATAATGCCTGTGTTACGTGCAATATCGTAATCCTAAGAGTTGTTGAGTTCTAAATAAATTAGGTATGTAAAGGGAGAATGTATGTATCTGTGACTCTAGTTATCTATTTTACTATTTTTAACTTATTATATAACTTGTTTATAAAAACATACTTTTAATATTTAGATAAACAAAGCTAAAATTAATAAAATTATGTTTTATTCACTTAGATAGACGATAAAAACGAAGCACAGAGATGGTACGCGTGATAACGGTGCACAATTTCCTGGGGCAGAATGTCGCCCAAATTGAGGAACCCACGGCGACGTGTACAGCAACTAGCCAGGGACAGGAAATGCTACTACTGGCATTACCCACACATTGCGTGGAGGTATGGGAGCTGATGAATTCGGACGTCAAATTGCGTACTGTTTTCCCCACAGTGGATATGATCAATCAAATGGTACATTGCGCCAAGGGAGATTATGTCGTGACGCTGGAATCAAAATATCTCAGAGATACTGCGAGCAATAATCATGCAAACAAAGCTACTTCTAATTTTGTAAGAATTTATGTGAATTGGGCTGTAGCGAAGGATCAGAGTCAGCCAATGCGAGCCAGGATTGCCGGTCGGGTCACGCCGAGTTTAAATCGACCCTTGAACAGCTTGGAAATGATAGAGTTACCTCTGAGCGTACAACCTACATTGATTGCTTGCTGCCAATGCACTGGAAACTTATTGATAGCCTCGGGAAACAGTGCCATTCTGCACGAGTTCAAGATCGAGACGCAACAAGTATCAAAGATAAAGTTTATAGATTTTGAACCTAGACCATGGTCATTGGGATTCACATTTACACCTACACGCATGGAAATTATAGAGGATTTTATAGCAATCATGGATAATACAACTTTATCAGTTTTTCGTCTTACGAACTCAATGTACGAAGATATTGACCAACTTAGCTCTTTAACTTCCACTTCTTCTTCCGTCGATAAAACGTCTATATCCACAGATTCATCTCTTGTAGAAAATAGTGGTAGTCTTGGAAATGACGATACGTCACTACAGGGAACAAATATAAAGCACAAATCTATAGATCAAGATTGTCAATATGTAACATCTGAAAATAATGAGACAGTGATAACCAATGTAAAATCTAAAGATAAAAAACACAAGGGCACAAAAGGAAGTATATGGTACAAGTCAGAAACGGGTGATTTCAATAGAACAAAGGCAAGTAATAATAAGAATTACATAGACTGGGAACATCTAATATGCAATGAGAAAGATGAGATGCAAAGATTAATTACACAAGGAATTGTTGATCCCTCTTCACAACCATTGACGGTGAATCTACCATTGATAAGTTTAGAACGAGCTGGTCCAGGTCATGCTCTCAGTCCTTTTATATTAAATCCAGCGGACATTAGAATCTTTATTAAAACAACTTCACCTGACGTAGGCTGGTCTGAAAATTATATGATAAAAAATTTATTATGTCTAAAAATCAATGCTGGAAATAATAATGCCAAAGTAGACGGAATTCTAGAGATCTTCAAATGCATGGTGTTGAAGCCGTTGTATATGAAGAAGGAATGTAACACCACTGGTGTAAAGAAATCTATGTTGCGATCTGACAAATACAGATACTTGCAAGGTGTAAGTTGCTTCGTTTGTACCACGCAGGAAGGCTATCTATATCATTTCACCACGGCAAACAGCAGTTCTGTGGATGCAACGTGCCTGACCACTTATCCATTCACCGCACCTGTTCATCATGTGGCGCTGGAGCACACAGTACTTCATGCATTGACCGAGGCAGGTCTTGAGTCCTATACATTACGTCTTTCTCATCATATCGCCAAATTGTCAAATAGTATAAATGGAATGAGAGTGACTTGTCCCAATATCATCGAACCGATAAGTCTAATTGGTTTAAGACCATTTTTAGGAATACAGAAATTGTTGCATACGAAGAGTTATATAGTTCTGCTGGCTAAAGCAGACAATTCTTGGACCATGTACTCTTTGAATTTACCTAAATTCGAGAACGTATATTTCGATATGTTGAATGCAGCAAGAAATCACAAATCCTCTAGTCCGAGCACTTATCGACACTTGTTAGGAGAAGCGCACGCCTTGATACGCTTAGCAAAGAATGTTTTCTACAATGTGAATAATGAAGAATTCGACGATACGATGCACAAGAACGATCTCAAGTTAAAAAATCTCTACAATCAATCGTGCGCATTGCTCGCGGATTATTATATACGATCGGAAAATGAATCGGATTGGGATTTATGTATTTCTTACTACAAAATGTCTGGGTTAAAACCTTCGGAAGTATTATGCAGGAAATGCTGTCAGGACGCACCAGGACTCTTGACGTTCTTAACGGATGCGCTTCTCACAATGAAAAGCGGATCTGAGGCTGATGCACTTTTTCAAGGACAAAATATAATAGAGATCATTTGTAAACTAGAGACAGAGGATTTGTTGACATTGATTTTCGGCAGTTCTGTGTTAAGGGAGTACGCTACCGAAAAATTGATAAATCTTCTGCTAACACACGAAACCAGCGATGTTGTTCAACTCGCTTTGGCACTCTTATATATTCAAGCAGACAAACAAGAACAAGCAGAGAAGGCACTAGAACCAGTTTCCGTGCGATGTATCAAGCAGATTGTTTTGGAACGCTGGGAATTGTTATTTGATGTAGCTGCAATAAAAAAGAGAAGTCCTATGATCGCTACTTTTTCGGATTTTGCTGGTATTTTGATGCTCATAAAGAACACTACTTTCGCCGACATTCTAATACAGATAATAGAAGAAGAAAGTACGTTGTCATTGCATCAAATTATACAGGTGTTCCTGGAGTATTTGCCATCGCGAGTTGGAAGAGACGGGCACAACGCAGCCGCCACCTTGCAAGTTTTCCTCGAGAAATATTTACATAATTATTTCAGTTCAAAATTCATGATGGAATGGCCAACTATAAATAAAAATCAGATACGATCGGACTTTGCTCTCATTGAGGCATTCAAATTATTAGTACGATCATATTTAGGCAAATTAACTCAAACAAGAGTGTATAAAACAGATTCCAAAGAAGATCAGGAAGAAAATGATAAAGAATATTTCATGTTTGCTAAATATCGACCAAGTTATTTGAACAAAATGCCACCGTACGCCAAAGACTACCAAAAAATTTTAAGCATGAACGATTTTAAAGATATAACGAATTTTAATAACGCATCCGAAAACGAAAAAACTATACCTAAGGAATTGTTTAAGTTGCAATCCGTATTGTCATGCGAATTTCTGCCGATTGAATGTTTGCATGAAGTTAAACAATTTCTCGAAACGCAAAATATCGATGGAAATTTATCTCTCAAGACATTATGTATTCAGAATACGGAAGAAGTAACGATAATTCTAATGGATAGCTGTCCACAAGCTGTAGTACAATATGCGAAGGTATTTTTGACATACAGTAATATGAGATACCGAATTTTTATCTAAACATTCTGCTATAAATTAATGTCTTTTTACCATGTTTTAGGATAGATATACGAAGGATACTGAGTGGAAATATCTTATTGAATTAACGCGAGACAAAATTGCCACTTCAACGACGGAACAAGAGTTACAACTCTTATACACACAGATTATGAAAGGTGAGAGTTGAACATAATATGAACAGAATAATACTTTGAACAGAGTATGCAATACATAGTACATAATAATTTTTTTCCGAATTTATAGAAATTCTTAATCACTTGCCGCATGCATTGCCTATGAAAAGTCTACATCGCATCTTGCCGAGAGATGACATGGCAGCATTTCAAAGATGCACCGAAATGTGCAATCAAATTATGCATGCGGATCACGTAAAATCGTTGATAATGGAAACCGGACAACAACTTTTGACAACTCTAAAGTTGTGAACATAAGGTTTCTTTAAATATCATATATTAGCTAATTTCTAGACAAGGAAGTGATATTAAAAGGAATTACGAATTAATAAATTCCTATATCACGCTTTAACAATGATATTGCGGAAAATTACTTTGTGTGCACTTATACTCGCAGATTAACCATTTCTACAAACATTTCAGACATTTCCTAATGCAGTCACGTAAACTGATGTTCGTTAGTTAATAGTTATGTCGATGCACGCATTTTAACAATCAATAACTTTCATTAATTATTAAAAGAAATTCGAAAAGAGATATTATAAATAAAATTCATCTATAATTAACTGTTAAATCGTTCTATATATAGATATATTATATTATAACTAAAAATGTAAAATCTGTCCCAGAGCAAAGGTGATGTAATACTAACACATAAAATTTTACGTAAAATAACGAATGTATACGAAAATTAGAAATTTGGAGTGTATTGTATCCATATAAAAATATTTATAATTAATGATTGCATTTACAAATAATTATACTAATGTTTAAATACTCTACACAGATCATATACCAAGATTTTTTAGAGTTAATTATTATCAATCAAATTTGTTCTGCTCTGGAACAGAAGGTATATCTTTAGTCAAATGAATTTTATTAAAATAGTTTTTATCAAATCTGTTGATGCTAATAAGTAGTTTTACGTAATCAATTTTTGAGTGTTACAAAATATGTAACTTTGATGTGCCTTTAGCAATAATTTCTCTTTATTATAAATCTAATTATGTTAGAATAATTAATAATATTTATAATTCATCATAAAAAAATAAACACATAATAACCTCTCAATTGCTTTTTGATCTTATATCTTAGCCATGATTTTTATTCCTCACAAAATCATCAATAATCACTATTACAACTATTAATAAAAAAAAAAATATAAATTCTAAATTTTTATTTTAATGTTACAATAATTTATAAAATATAATTTCAGTATGTACACTCATGGACTACAAGGTTACAACACTTTCTTTTTGATGGTTTTGGAATGCTTATTGAAAGAGAAGGTTGCATTCCAAAACCATTTCAAAAAAGTGTTGGAACTTTTCAGTCCTTGGGTGTACATACATAAAATTTTAAATAACAATTTTATATAAGTGACAAAATTAAGTTTAAAATTAGAATAGAATAGCAAGATTTAAATTTGAGCAATTGAAATATTTTTAATAGAATACTTTAAACAAAATCAATTTAAAATATACATTTACATCTACTTTAATAAAAATCAATATTAGAAATATTAAGATATTGACAAGTTTCTACAGCTAATATAATATAGATTACACTGAAATATTATTCAATTACTATTCATAATCATAAATCGTATTTAACGTTAACAATAAATGAGTTATTTGTCCCAGTTTTATATTTCTTATATATATATATATATATATATCATATGTACAGAATATCAAAGTTAAAGAGAGCCAGAACATATAAAATGCAATAACTCAATAATATCTTAAATGTCACCTATTTGTATGTACATTTTCTGTGTTTAGTTAGAATATCTTAGAATTTAGTTAAATGCTAGAGTATATGTATAAAAAAAAACATTCTATTATTTATTGATTACCTATATAATTCCGAATGTATTCCTATAATAGTCTATATAAAAATGAACCATTGTATAAATCTTGATAACATTTGCGCCCGTTTACATTAATCCAAATTCCTTGTTTAGTCTTGGCAAATCTCTAAAAAAATATATCATGGATATTTAAATATACGAGTAACTGTTACAAATGCTTTTTTTTTTTATAGCCGTAACATATAAAATATTGTGTAAAAATGTATTGAAAGAAAAATATAAATAATATCGCTCGTATGCAAAGTAAAATTGAACAGTTTTGCAATGTGTAAAATATTACCTGTTTTCTACGGCTTCCATCAAATCATATTTGCGCATCAATGATATAACTAATCTTAATGTTGACCATATTGTATTTGACATTGCTTTACGAGGTACATTATCAGCTTGTGGACCTCTTCCAGCAGCTTGTTGATTCAATGCTGTCAAAAGATGCTCACCTGCCTCCCTTTAACATAATACATAGTTCTAATATAATAATTTCATTGATACATTATTTTTTGTAGCTTAAGAATTATGTTTATATTTACTGATACGCTGCAAGATTAACACAAGATATGCCAAGATTATAACGTGCTCTAATAAATCCAGGTGATAATTCTAAGGCACGATGATACGCGTTTACAGCTTCTTCTGATCGTTGACCATTAGCTAAGGTAGCTCCCAATCTATTCCATAATCTGTAATCCTTTCGAAAATATACATTCACATATGCATGTCAGTTCCATTCATCACAACAGAAATAAATTGCACTTACATCAGGACGCACATGCAACGCTGTTTGAAAACAATCCACAGCTTTGTTGTAATCGTTCGATAAATTGAACAATATACCTAATCCACATTGTACGTCCGCATCAATTTCATCTCGAGGATTCATTCTCGCGGCTTGAATATACAGATCTTTGACTTCATCATATATTTTCCTACAATGAAATAGCATATAAACAAATTTTCTAATATTAAAATTATTCTTGACTTACTCATATAATAAAGTAGACACACTGAAATTCGGATGTTCATCTTTTTTAATATTAGATTCTGAATTTGCAAGATGTTTGTATTTTTCATTCTTTAGTAACCATTCCTTTAGTGTTAGACAAGCTTGTTTTTGATAAGACTCGTTTGCATAAGAAGCCGCTAATGTCATGAGAGCAACGTTGTTCGATGGATCCAAACACAAACAACGATTTAAAGCAGAGATGGCCGAAGGATCCTGTTCATTCTCAGCTTGTGTTTTGCCAAGAAGTAGCCAGGCTTCAACGTTATTTTCATCCTGTTGGGCAGCAGCTTCAAAACATAGTACAGCGCTTGGTAAATCACCCGCCTCTAGTCGTTTTTTGCCTTCAGCCAAAGCATTTGGCAAATCTTTCATAGGATTTGTCTCAGAGAAATCATATTCCTTATTAAATGGATCATAATATGTGTCAAATTCTGATACCCATGGATGCGTATAGGAGTTTCCATGTACAGAAATCTTATCCCACTCCTCTTCAAATCGCTTCCATAACGAATCCATATTGTCTTCTAAAATGTTAATTATTATGTTAATAGAGTCATTGTTATCATTAAAGGCACATACTTTGTTTAAAAAGAAAAGAAATTAAAATATTACCCGTAGGAGGAACTTCCTTTACAAGTTCGTCTATCCATGTACCTGCAGATTCTAATTCTTCTTCTACTTTATTCAAAACGGTATTATCATTTAACGGTATTACATTAACTGCTTCATTGTCTATAAATTGTTCTACCCATTCTTCGCTTGTACCATTCAAGTTAATTGTTTGATTGCTTTCTATAGGAATATCACCTTCTCGTTCCATAAATTTCATAAACCTTGAATACGCCAATTTTGGTTCTTCATCTTCCAAAATTTGAATATCATTTTTGTTAATAATGTCCTCTACAACATCCGTCTTATATTCTAGAAAATCTTCTGCCCATTTTGGATCTAAACCAAATTCATTTATCTCGTCATTCGCGCCTTCCTCCTCTTGAACAGGTAAAACAGATGCATTCCATATAACATCTGCATTAAGTTCCTATAATTCACTTGCAATAATTATTTTGTAACAGTAGAAATAAGTACAATTCTAGAGATTAATTAAATAAAATTACGTCTAGAGATTGAGATGTAAGATAAGGATTTCTCCAAGCTTCATCCAAATCAATCTGTAACTCCGTTATGATCTCAGGTCCAGTTTTTAAATGAATAATTTGATCAATTTTTCCCATTTCCTGTAATAGATTATTTATTCAAAACATCTGTTAGGCAAGCAGGTTTCTCTTCAAGAATTATAGGATAATTCGTTTGCAATAACAAAATATTTTACAATGCTAGAAATAAGTATAATTATACAGAAATAAATTTACTAGAGATTGAGGTGTAAGATAAGGATTTTCCCGAGCTTTGTCCAAGTCATTCTTTATTTTCCTTATAATCTCAGGTCCAGTTTTTGAGGGATGAATACTTTGATCTATTTCCCTCATTTCCTGTAATAGATTATCCATTCGAAACGTCTGTGGGCAGGCAGGTTCCTCTAAGAATTGTTGAACCAATTGATCTGCATCTGGTGTTTGAAAAGCTTCTGACGAACTAAACGGCCGATGAATTCCTTCTTCTTTGAAGCCACGATCTTGCACATAATGTGATGCAAGATGTATCAAAGAACTGGGACCTCCACAGTCTCCTTCCACTAATTCACGAAATGCCATCTTTTATATTGTTATTGGATTCCTGTATTGGAAAAATTTGCTATTTTATTTTCTTATTCTCTCTATTTAGAGACATTTGCTATATTTATTATCTATATTCAGGGCTGAGCACATGTATTTAAAATACTTTTATTTAAAACAGTTTTCAATAAAAGTAGATTTTATATTTCATATTTTAATGGCGTGCATGAAAGTATTACATATTTTGTATTTAAAATTGAAAGGTTGAAAGCTTTATATATTTCATAATTTAAATAATAACATTAATCGTCAATCTTAGTATTTAAAATACAAAATACTTTCAATCTTTTATTATTAATACTAAAATACAAAATATAAAATACTTTTATATACTTGCATAAAATATAAAATGCAGAATATTTTCATGCACACCGCTGAAATACAAAATATATGATACAATCGTATTAAAATTACTGTTTTCAAATAAAAGTATTTTAAACACATGCCCAGCTTTGTCTACATTAAATATTAAGTTCAATGGTATATTGAGTTCAACGGTAGACACATAAACCTAATTGACAATATGCTATTTGCTTTTTGTCTTTTGCCACATTTCCTTTTTGAAATTGTTTCAACGACAATGTTTCTTGTTACATTATATGTTTCTTGTCTCTTTCGAATTTCACTTTTATCTTGGATGAAAACGGAGAAACAAAATAAGAGGTAAAAGACAAAACGTAAAAAATGGTAAAACGCAAGAAACATTGGACATTTGAAACGTCGTGTTATATCTGTAAGGCTAATTCTATAATATGCTTTTCGTTTCCTGTTTTTTTGCCTTCGTCTCTTGCCTTCTTGATCTAAAAGGCAAGAGACAAACAACAGGAAACAAGCACATTGTAGAATTAGCCTAAGTGAATCAAAAAGAAAAACATTTCATGTGCACAAAATGTAATGCAAAATTATAGGCAAAAGAAAGTTTGTAGACAGAAGTCAATGTATCGTATGCATAACGCATAGATAAGAAATCGCGAGGTTTTAGCTTCGTGTACGTAGACCAAGTCGTTCAATGACAAGAAGATTGCTGCGATTGAGCGCTCAGTATCTGAAGTGGGCGCACGATCATCAAAAAGAATCATTTGTCGCGTGAAGTTTGGTGTTATTAGTCAGCTAATTTTATCGATGCCATTTCTGTTCGCAAGCCGCGTGAAAACGGGAATCACAATGGGACCACCTCGATATTTCCTCGTCACTTTCGTCCGTTCCGTCCTTGTTATGACACACTGAGCGTTATCGTCACGTACTCCTCTAGAACATCACAGAACGAACAGCGGAGAGCGGAGCAGCAAGATTTTGGTGTGACCACTGTGACCAAAACTATTCGAGACTTTGTACCGGAACAACTGAAGGAGGGGTAAAGTATGTAGAGTGAGGACTGGACTCGCCCGCCAATCGAACGCGCGCAGTAGATCGAGTAGAAGAGAGATGTAAAGTTACCGAAGGAGAAACTTGGGAAAACGGAAAACATACATCTCTCCTATTTCTTCGATAGGACGCGATTAAAAAAAGATTAATCTGCATTTCAACAGAGAATTCGAGAGCAATATGTTATTCTATTCATCTGCATCTCCATACGCTTTTTCTGCACCTCGAGACGTGCACATTCTTGACCGTGGCAAGTGAATTGACATGATAGGAGCGTAGTCGGACCTGCCGAACGCTGATTGGCTCGCTGCTTCGATACTTACGATTATCGAAATTTTGAACTGCGATATTGCGATTCTCGAATTGATCATTCAATTACGGGTCGCGGAACTTATCGGAATCGGGAGGACAGTTTCGTATTTCTCGTGGTAATTATTGCTCGCAAAAGGACTCGTAAACGCGAACAGTGATCGGAGTGTTTTGTAAAACGTCGTACGATCGTCGTGACGTATAAAACATTGAGTGCGACTGCTGCTGTGCGCGTCAGTAATATCCACTAATGGCGTTGATCTCGGAGTCGCAGTTTCTGATGGATTGGATCTCTGTACATCTCATTATTTTCTTGACCAAGTGCATCGACTACTACCAGGTACATTTATATAATCTATAAAATTTCGTTATTTCGCGATGACTGTGAACTGTGATTCATGTATATATATATGTATGTATATATACGTCTTTGACGAATTATAGGGTGCTATTTCACATTCATGCGTTTTTATCGTACAACAAATATGTGTAGGACAGAGAGATCTTTGAATTTCTTTATTGTCCATCTGATAACTAATCAATAGGCTTGAAAAATTTACATGACAAAAACGCACAAATAAGATGATAGTGGCCTTATACAGTGTATTGGCGCATTAGAAATTCATATCATGGTTGCGTTCGGTTTAGCTGTTCTCGCGTTGTCAGCTTCATGCTATCTTTCTTTCACGTATAATAAATGATAAAGATAGAATTAAGTTTAAAGTATTTGTTCAAATCGAACGCAGACATACGATGAAATACGCCCTCGCGACCAGTATGTATGATGAAAAGAACTATATCAAGTCATAGCAAATGTATAAAGATAATATATTATCTATCGAGGATAAGTCGGTAAATATTAATCGTCGGTAAATATTAATCGTCGGTAAATATTAATCGTCGGTAAATATTAATCGTCGGTAAATATTAATCGTCGGTAAATATGAAACATTAAAGGTAAAGAGTGATAGTTTAAAACGCGCGTTATATAAATTAAAGTATTCACACAAATTATGCTATACACGTATCAGGAGACGCGGTAGTGTCTCCGGCCATGTTCAAAAATTATATTATACATATATATTATTGTTATATTATACATATATATTATATCAGGGCTCGGCACGCGATGCAACTTTCGGTCGATTTTCGAATCAACTCCGCCTTCCGCTATCCCCTTCGTCATCTCACCGCTCCGCGCGCAGTCCAAATGCCGCTCGATCGTCGTGCTTCAAAAATCGACCGAAAGTTGCATCGCGTGCCGAGCCCTGAATAATATATGTATAAATATGTATTTCTATATGTTTTACTACATATTTTTTATTTTGCAAAATTAAAACTTGTACTTGTTTGGGAAGAAATTTGAATCAATTAGGGGTAACGAGAAAAGTAATATTTTTTGGAAAATTGAATTAAAAATTGACATTTGTGTTAAATATATGTACCTATATGATGACTATGCAATTACTTACATAGTAGATGTAATTAATAGTAATTTTTATACAATAATTGAAAGTAGATATTTTCTATATATAAATTTAGTAGATGTTCTAATAATGTTTTTCTTATTATCTAATAATATAAACACAAGTAGATATAAACAAAATTGAGAAGAAAAAAACAAGTAGATATTCTATAATTACTGAAATTATAATAATTGCGTCTATTATCTACACGCTCTTTAAAACTAATTAATTCTAAGCAAAATATAAGGCTTGTAATAGTTTTGATAGGACTTATAAAAACTTGTAACTGATGTTCTAATTTTATATACATATATATCATAATGTGTATGATTATTCGTAAATATCTAATGATTTCTCGTAAATTTTACGGCTAACAAGAAATTATCTGTAAAAATGTTGCATAAATTAATTAGTTATAAGCACTCTCTTATAAGTTTTTATAAATCTTACGAGAATGTGTTGCGAGCCTTGCGATTCTGCTTAGAATAATTTAGGTATTACATAGTTTTTTTAAATTATAGTTTTATATATATATATTATACACATATATAATATAAATGTAAATAAAAAATTTTAAATCATGCTTAATATTTGTGCCATTTCAAAATAATGCAATAGAAATAGATACCTTGTACAAGCATAAAAATATTATGTCTAATTAACAAATATAATATGCGCGGAAATCGGGAAGTGCACATATTATTTACTAATTAGATGGTATTAAATAGGTAGATTTGTTAATTATGCAAATGAATACAAATTAATTAAAAATGTAAATATTAGATCAACATGTAAACTTATATAACTTTGTATATGTGTTGTAACACTATACGCATTTATAAACATGCGAGAGTAATTATTGTATTCAGATTATAAAACTACTATGTCATTCTCTCTCTTTTAGGTGTACTTAGATATACTACATATAATAATGTTGTTAACTTTGACAGGTATCTATTATAGATTGTGCATTCTTACTATAATAAGTTGTTATGTATATCTTGTTTGATTAGTCTTATGATTTCTGTTTAAGAAATTTTTTTTAATTTAAAATTAAAACACATTTAATTTAAAATTAAGACACAAGTGTCTTATTACCGAAGTAAATCCAGCAAAAATATTATTATAGTAATGGGGATAATCACACAAAGATGCGCAGTCTATTATATTTATTGGAAAATCTAGCATAATTCATATTGGAAAATAGTAATAGTTACAATTTTTATGAAACAAAACTAAAACCATTATATTTCTATATTTTATTTTATAACGAAATACCAATACAAAAATTAATTACACTAATAATTATACACTTGGAAATTTAATTTTTTTTTTTCTGAAGAGATGTTACCGAATTTAAAAAATTTTATAATGTAAAAGATTAACATCTTCGGTTTTTTTTCGTACCTTCCTTGTTAATTATTTCAATGTTCTTCTTTTTTTCATCTCTCTCTTTCTTTTAATGGAGAGACGAAAGATTTGCAACGAAAGCCTCCCATTATTCAGATCTATTTTTCATATCCTAATCCTTTATTAAATTCATCTTTTTTTTGCCTTTGAGTACATTTCTTACATTTAGTTTGGAAAGTTCTTCTAACAATCTCTGAAATTCAATAAAAAAAGCTTTTGACTGAATTCTTGACATATCCGTCATAAAAAGTCAGATTGTCAAAAGGTGATATCAGTGATATCATATTATTGTGAGCTGTTGCATATGTCATAGCAGTATCAGAGTGAGATGTAATTTTTATTAAGTACAGCTAGCAATGATACTATAATGATATATCTTGCAAAATCCTCAAGTAGAACACTAGTCAGTATGACAAAGTGATAATTAAAAGTAACTTTTCAATCATTTACGATTTATTGTAGAAGATATTTTTGTACTTTAGATTGAGTTTTAAATAGATGATTAATGTCTTCAAATTTAAAAATGCACATAAATTACATAAAAATATAAACGATCGAAATATCAAATTAATGTAATAAACTATACACACACGCACGCACGCACGCATACACACACATAGAAAAAGAGAAGATGGGCTTTAAATATCTAATTATTTTCAAAAGAAAATGACAATATAAAATATAAATAAATTTAAATATTAATTTTTGTTACATAACGATAAAAAATAAAATATCATTTGGATATATCTGAGTATATTTTAATATGACTGATTGTGAGTTTAGCAAAAAAAGCTGTTCAATGTGCGCTCAGTTACTCTATATTATACTTAGTTTCTACACTTACTGTTAGAGCGAAGAACTAAAGGCAAAAATCAATCGTATTAAAGTATCAGTTCACATTTACATCTATTATTATAAGTAAAAATGTTACAGATATAATAGGTATATGTATACAGATCGAACATTTCAATGAAGTTGTCTGTGCTGGTTAAGAAATAGAGAGATAAAATAACTCTTCCTATCCTCCTATTGCCTTCTAATAAAAAACGAGTTAAAGAGTTACATATACTATTACTCTTCAACATCGTATTCTTTTTCCAATGGAACATAAATGTTAAAGTCAATTAAAATAGCGCACAGCATATGTGTATTACTACTACAATTATAAATAAATAACTTAATTTGTATCGGAAAGATTAATGGTTATATTTTTTATGAAAAAAATTAAGATCAAGTGCTTATATAATACATTTTATTTCATTGCAAGCATACATCGTACCAATAATTATCATATATATTAGTATCTAGAAATTTCTATCTTTTTTAAACAGGTGTTTCTAAATACTTAAATTCAGTAATATCATATATTATTAGCATTTTCTGTTCTTCCCATGCTCTCCGTGTTGATTATTTCAGCAATTATCTACCAGCGTTCTTTTTTTTCATATCCTCAATAGACTTTGTGACTAGAGCTTTCCAGCGTTCAGGATTATTTTGTTCATACCAATTCTTCATTATTAGCTGCAACTCTTTTTGTCTTTGAGTACATTTCTTACATTTAGTTTGAAGAGATTCGCTAAAAATTTCTGAAATCAAATTGGTTTTAATTCATAGTAAACATAAAATTTTCTTTCTTCTTTTCTTTTTTTTTGTTTCTTTTCTTTGTTATAATTAACTAGTATATATGTGAAATTTTGAAAAATTAAGTTTAAAGTAACAAAAATTTAATGAGCTGACATCTATGCAATTTTTACAAAAATAAAATTAAAAATAAATCTTATTCTTTATTACATAACTGGTTCTTAGCCCTTCACAATTGTTCTATTATATCTTATTCTTTATATTTTTAAGAAATTAGAAAATTTATCCAAAAATTAAACATTATCATCTCTGTCTTTAACAATACATTTTACAATAATCTCTGTCTTTAATGAGATGTAATATTTTCGTATGATGTCTCTGTTTTTAAATTTCGTTCGAATGCGTAATCTTTGCGCAATTTATAATATCAGATTTTAGAAAAGATTCGAAATATGTTATTATTACAATTTTCGTAATTTTAATTTTTTAAATTATTTATTTTTCTATTTTTCAATTTTTATATTTTCTTTCCCGAATGAAAATATGTTCTCTCAAAATTAATTGTGAAACATTATTTTAATACTTTTTTTATTTATGTTTATTGCCAGAAATTTCTTATTTATACGAGCATTAATTATTATAAAACTACTGATATATTAAAAATTTAATTGCTGATTGAAGTCTGTTGTAAAAATATTCGTTGAAATATTCTGATTGTGAGTATAAAGTGTACCTTGAAAGAACTTCGCATCTTCTGTTGGGCATGGCGCCTTTTCCATAAAACAATTGTACCATTCATCTCGTAATTTATCGTTTTGAAGGATACTCATGGGGTCAGTGTTGTCGTATTTATCGGAATACAGTTCTTCCGCTAAAACACACATCAGTATTACACTGATGATCATCACGTAGCTTAACCGAATCATATTTTTCATCATTTTTACACTAACTTGTGAGAAAAACTGAATGATTGATTAAATGTGCATCTTATTTATACACTTAGCACAAAATTAAAAAAATTGACATTTAAAGATGATAAATGCCTTATAATATAAAATAATAGCTTGTGTGTCTCATTGCATAATAAGAAAAAAATTGACTGTGATAATTACATACATATGTCTAAATTATCCTTTCAGTCGTATACATATAAATTTGAATATATAAATGTAGCTAATAGCAATGCATTATGTAAATAACGTCTCATAAAATTTTCATTGCAAGTAATAATTTTTAGATATTAATATGTAATTCTCGTAAATACAGTATAACTTTATCTTTGATTTATTTTAATATAAAATAACATGTTGTAATGGTGTAATTTTTATTATAATAAATATTTAGAGCGATAGAATAATTCCTGTTCAAACCTTAAATTTTTAAAATATATTTTAGCTTAAAAGGAGTTTTATTTATAAACAAGTTTATATTTTTATATTTTTAAGTACTCGGAAAAATAAATTGCACAGTCCGGATATAGCAAAGCGATTATGACTCAGATTGCGAATAAATATTATATTATTCATGTTGTAAACGTTAAGTAATCTTTTCCACTTAGTAAATTAAGATAAATGATAATCGAGCAATTAGACTGTGAATAATATTATACATTGGAAATAAGGAAAATCAGTATACTTTGTGCATTTATATGTATTATATAGAATGGTTAGTTCTTTTGACAAAAACGCAATACATTGTGTAGTTATATAAATAAATTCTTTTATTTGAACGCGTCGATGAATAAAGCATTGCTGATTGAGTATTTTTCGTAATAAGTATTTTTCATAACAAATTATTCGCAAGATTCCCATTAACACTGGATTGATCAGATTATTAATATTCTTATAAAAATGGTTATTAGCATAAAAATTGTTTATCAATTTAATAAATAATACTACTCTGGTACTGATCATGATTGTGTTTTTAAGACCGAAAAATATTTTAAGGCGCGATTTGCAGAATTAGATACGTATAAGACAACAATATTTAACTACTAAGATCTGTTTTGTTCAAATATAGGATTTCATTAATTTAATTAAATTTATTTTTATTAGTCCAAATTTTTATCATAATTAATTACTAATATGTATTAAATAGATTGCTAATTAATGTTGCTAAGACGTTTCAACTGAACGTTTATTATTTTATAAATAGGACTGTGTATAATATATCGCCGTTGTTATGACGCTTTATTTATTGTATTGTAATATTACATAAACAAGAGTGTTCCATTTTCAATTTTATAATTTTTTAATTACATTTTTATAACACTATACATGTTACACTATTAATAAGTAAATTATTATTAATGAAAACATATGGCAACTGTCCTTGCAAAGCAGTTCTTGGTAATGTTTAATATATGTATATTAGTCAAGATATCAGTGATTTCTCTGTGAGAGTAAAATTGAAATCAAAAGCACTTATACATTTTATTTTATTATATACTATTTTATAACATAAAACTACAATACAAGCATGGATTACGTTAATAATTATAACATCTGAAAATTTCTATCTTTTCTAAAGAGAGGCGTTTCCAAATATAAATAATTCAATAACTTTATAGATGATTAACATTTTCGATTCTTCCTGTGCTCTCTTTTGTTGGTTATTTCAGCAATTATAAGCCAGCATTCTTCTTTTTCATATCCTCAACAGACTTTACGACAAGAGCTTCCCATTGTTTAGGTTTATTTTGTGTAAACCAATTCAACATTTCAGTATATAATTTTTTTTGTTTTTCAGTACATTTTTTACAGTTAGTTTGGATAACTTCGCTCATAATTCCTGAAAGTAAATAAAAAAAATTCTTTAACTCATAGTAAGCATAAAATCCTCTTGTTTCTTTTTCTCTTTTTCTATTTTTTTTCTTTATTATATTATAATTATCAAGCACATATGAAATTTTGAAAAAGTATGTTTTTAAAGAAAAAAAATATTGACATTTATGCAATTTAAAAAAATATATATACAACAACAACAAGAAGAAGGAAGCCAATGACGGTCAAAGCTGGATCACAATGCTTATTATAATTATGTGTGAATTTTATATACTGCGTATGTAGTCCCCCCATATAAATCGCGACGCTGATAGTTTTTCATTTTTCAACATTGACGCATACATACTTACTACCGCAGTAATATCACGAATTCAATTGATTAACAATTTTTGATGCTCATAGCATCATGGATCTTAATAGTGTTTTTAATGACATATTAAAATCTGAAGATAATAAATTAAAATTTCGTATTTAAAATTCAGTAATTCTTGTGTATTGCGAAGAATATTACATAATTTTTGGCGTTTCGTCCCGGTTTCCACTACTGGACTCATCAGTAAGGCATTGTAGTGGAAACCTACCTTAGACTCCTGTGGGGGGACTACATACGCAGTATATAAAATTCACACATAATTATAATAAGCATTGTGATCCAGCCTTGACCGTCATTGGCTTCCTTTTTCTTGTTGTTGTTTATCATTGTACGGTCTTAAAAAGATTTTAATATTTGTAAAATATATTTATATAATTAAAAAATATTTTTTTTTGTCATATTTTTAAGAAATTAGAAAATTTATCCAAAAATTAACGTTACAATAACCTCTGATTATCTCAAATAAGACTAATATTCCTTATGTATAAATATGTAGAGATGTTTATTTTTAATTTGTGTTCAAATGACATAATTTTTGCGCAATTTTAGTATCAGTTTTTAAGAAAAATTTGAAATATGTGGTTATTTCAATTTTCTTGTAACTTTTAAATTATAATATATTTAGGTATATCGTTTTGATTAAGTCTACTGAAAAAACACACTACATGTATTTTTCCCAAATTAAATAAAAAATATTTAATTATTTATTTAATTATTTTCTTTGTTTATGCTTATTATCAGAAATTTCTTTTACATCATTAATTATTCTAAAACTATTGATATACATATATAATCAACATGGTAACTTGATTTTTAATTGATTAAGAAATTTCATGAAAATTTATTCGTTGTAACACTTTGGGTGTAAGTATACCTTGAAAGAACTTTGCATCTTCTGTTGGGCATGGCCCCTTTTCCATATAACAATTGTAATATTCCTCTCGCAATTTGTCATTCTGAAGGATATTAGAGGCGTCAATATTGTCAAACCGATCGGAGTAAAATTCTTCTGCCAAAACGCACATCAGTGCAATACCGATAATCACGATGTAGCTTAATCGAGCCATCATTTCTCCTATTTTTGCACTAACTCATAATGAACTGAACGATTGATCAAGTGTGCATGTTATTTATACACTTAGCACAAGATGAAAAAATTGACATGAAAAATGACGAATATCTTGTAGTATAAAAGTAGCTTGTTTTACTGCATAATGAGAAAAAAGTAACTATGATTGTGTCTAAATTATCCTTTCAGTTATAGTGACATAAATTTGAGTATGTGTGATTAATAACAAGGCGTTACATAACATAAATGTTTTCATAAAGTTTCCATTCCAGCTAACAATTTTCAATTTATAAGTTAGCGACATAAACAGAATCAATTTTAATATTTTTATTCGTTACTAAAAAGTTGCCAAAGAAAAAAAATTGTGTCGCTCTTTAATTTTTTTTAAATAGTATTCCTTTAAAGGAACATTAAGTTAGTAACAAATGTTACTAATTTGTTGTTGTCGAAATATTTAAATTTTGTTGATTGCGAAATAAATGTAAGTAACAATGAAAAACATGCTGGTGATTGCAACAGTAAATATCAGAAAAAAATTCTTTCTTTAGTACTATATAACGTCTCTGGATACTTTGAGAGCAACAAATTTAGACAATACTTAAATACCAGTTTTAAGCAATACATTTTTTTGGCACTTTACTTTAGTACCAATGTTTTTTTATCATTATTTATAAATATTTTACAAATAACCAATTTGAAACTTGTATATTTTGAAAGCAACAAATTGTTTTGCTAACTTATAAGATATAGTTTCTGCGAGAATTAATTTAAAGTGGACGTTTTTGGTATAACATAGTCGGTATTATTGTACCGGGATAAATATGGTTATCTATTATAATATTAATGATTATATGTTTGCAAATATTAATTATTGATAAATACGGAGACATTAATGGGAAAAAGAAATAAGTTAAAATGCCTACAAAATATAAATGCAGACTATATTCAAGTTATACTATATATTATTATATTACGTATTTGTATATTTTTATACATTATTGTATACTTTTATACATTATTGCATATTTTGGGAGATCGAATTTTGTTTTTTGTATTGAAAAAGTTCCGGTTGATTAGACAAAGATAAAAGTAATATGTATTTCATGAAAAATTGACTTAAAAATTGACAGTCACGTTAAATATTATACATGCTATGTATGGTGACTATTATATATGCTATAAATTATGAGAGAATAATAATGTATATTCTGATTTTATATAAAAATTCATCTTAAAAAGAATTCAATTTATATCAAATGAGGATGTTACAAATAAGTAGCCTCATTATTTGTATCGACGAAAGTAGTGGTTACGGTTTCCAAGTAACAAAGGTGAAATCAATTGCACTTCTATATTTTGTTATTAATATTTATAACATAATATTGTACTACAATACAAGCATTGATTGCGTTAATAATTATAGCATCTAAAAATTTATCTATTTTTTAAAGAGATAAAAGTTTTAGTAATTTTATAAATGATTAATTCATTTTCAATTTTTTCCGTTGTCTTCTCGTTATTTCAATAGAGTTGTCAGCAATTATGCGCCAGCGTTCTTCTTCTTTAGATTTTCAATAGTCTTTGCAACGAAAATTTCCCATTGGTCAGGTCTATTTTTTGTATACCAATCCACTATTGCATCCATTATTTCTTTTTGTCTTTCAGTACATCTCTTACATTTAGTTTGGAGAGCTTCGCTAGCAACCTCTGAAATCAAATCAGACAAAGCTCTTGACGTTTTGGTTTTAATTTGTAGGAAGCATAAGATTCTCTTACCTCTTTTTCTTTCTTCATCTTTTTCCTAATTAACACGTATGCACAGAATATTGAAAAATTAAAGAAAATTAATAGAAAAATTTATCGTCGATATTTGCAATTTTTACAAAAAAATAAAATCGAGAATCTTCTATATTTTTAAGAAATTAGAAATTTTATTTAAAAAATTCTATGATATGTATATATACATGTGTGTATGTGTGTGTGTGTGTGTGT